TGTGGCCGGGTCGAACGGGGCTTGGGGCAGCCCGGTCTGGCAGGAGACAACCGGATGGACTCAAGGTGCCCTCCGACCCAAGCATCCTGTGATTCTACGACTTAAGGGGGCAGAAGACCAAGGAGCTCAAAAGCAAGGCAAGTTTGGTTCGAAGCCGCAGCACTTGAACGGAAGAAGCGCCCCAACACAGGAGCGCCTCACGGGAAGCAGCCCTCCGACGGCGAGAAGCATCCGCACAGCCTGCGGAGCTCCCGAGAACAATGGAACGGGCGCCCGGGGGGGAGCCGGGCTGCGCGATCAGCGCACTCACAGCGGCACCCCGCCAGCTGGGACCCGCGCCCCGCCAGCCCCGCGTTCCGGCCGCCAGCACCGCCCGGGCGCTCTCCGGCGGCAGCGCGGCATTTGACAGCTGCCCGCGGGCGGCTCCCGCAGCTCGGCGAGTGTCCAGAAGGTTCCTGAAGCCCGGACCGCCCCGGCCGCGGATCGGCGGGCCCGCCCGGCGGCTGAGGCGCGACCCCCGACCCCCGCTCCGCGCATGCGCCCCGCGGCCGCTCACCGTTGCCGGGTGACTCGCCCTCCCCGCCGGCCTCGGCAGCGGCAGGTTCCTCCGCCTCTTCCTACCCCGGGGGCCGGCGCGGGCCTCTGCTCGCCGCTCCGCTCTCCTCGCGGGCCTCGTCCGCCTGTCCTTCCTCCTCTCTCGGTCTCCCGCCGCCGCCGTGCGCCGCGGCCGCCACGCTGCCGCCCCGAGCGCCGTCCGTCCCCGCAGCCGCTCCGTCTCACGAACGCGCCTCCGCCGGCGGGGGTCCCCAACGGTAGCGGCGGCGGCTGCCGGAAGTGACGCGCTGACTGACAGGTGCAGCGCGCGCCCCCTCCCGCGGGGTCACGTGCTGCGGGGCGGGGAGGGGGCGCGGGTGGCGGGAGGGCGGGGCGGCGCCGGGAGCGGCGGATGCGGGCCGTCGGTGCCGGGCGGGAGGCGGCGCGGGGATGGCTGCGCAACTCCGGGCTGCGAGATTCGTCCGGAGAACGCGGTGGGGGGGGGGCTCAGGCCGCCCCGTGTCCGCGAGACGGCAGCGGGGAGCCTCCCGCGGCGAGGAGCGAGCTGCGATTCGCTGCTTTCTCGCTTTTTGCCCCTGCGGTGACTCAGCCTTCCTTCTGTCACGGCCCTCGCATGTTCGGGGTGCCCACAGTGTCAGCGCTGCCGCCTCCGCCCCGGGCGCCCGTTGTGCCATCGCTCCGTTCCCGCAACCGCACCAAAGCGTTTGCTGTGAACTTGCCGAATTACGGCTTCGGAGCAACAGCTCCAATTGTAGAGGAGAGGAGAGGAGAGGAGAGGAGAGGCTTCCCTTTTTATTTTTTAAATTTCATCTGGAGGCGGATTCATTGGATTCATTAGGTTTTATATTTAGAATCTGAAGAAGGGGCATAGCAGCTCCCCAGTAAATGAACTGGCTTATTTTTAATCAGGTCTAAACTTCTTCTTTTGGAAGATTTGGTTTCTTTAGAAGATGCCACACAAACACGATGGATGCGGGGCAGAGGGAAGCTCTGCCCCAGGAGGTTCTATGCTGTCTGTCTGCATCCACAGCACTTCCCCACTTGAGCAGTGAACAAAATTCCTCTTGTCATGACAGTTTCTGAATGTGTGCTTTGTATACATAGCTGTGTTCTCTCTGAGCCATTTAGCCTCATCAACTACAATGAAGATACTGAATCAGAGCAAGCTGAGAGTGAGCAGACTCCAGCTGGCTCTTGGGCAGATATGCTGGCCAGCTGACAGGAGTAAAACTGCAAGAAGTCTGACACAGAAAACACACAGAGTGAGGAGATAGACAACAGAGGCAGGCAGGTAGGCAGGCATTGCACAGCACCTGTTCACTGCTTTCGGGTACGAGACAGTGCATAACCTGCTCTGGACTGGCTCTCAGTACACCACTTCATGCCAGCTTATCCTATCTCCCATCAAGCACATCCAATGTTCCTTGCAGGGGGCAGACATATGCAGCCCCAGTTTTAGTCTCTTCTGCTCATTTTATATTCTTGCTTCCACTTTCAGAAAGTTTGAGGAGAAACTGGCAGTCACAGAATCACAGGGTTGGAAGGGATCTCAAGGATCACGAATCTCTAACCCCCTGCCACATGCAGGGCCACCAGCCTCCACATTTAATACCAGACCAGGCTGCCCAGGACCCCATCCAATCTGGCCTTGAACACCTCCGGGGATGGGGCATCCACAACTTCTATGGGCAGCCTGTTCCAGAACCTCACCACCCTCTCTGTAAAGAATTTCCCCCACATGCTTTAAAGTCATGGTGCTTTAGCCATGTTCATAGCAAAAATAGAAGGGAGGAAGGCAGCAACATGGGGAGCAGCCAGATGGTAGCAGCCCCAACACAGCCATGAAAGCACTAGCCTTGCAAACCACTGCTAAAAATTGCAGTGGAGCAATGTGTCAGCTGCCCTTAGCATTTTGTCCTATCTTAGTGCAAATCTTGTACTTTCTGGTAGCATTCTGTAATTTTCCCTCTTACAGGGACTGCAGCACAGCTTGCAACACCCAGCCCTGTTCAAGCAGTCTCAACAAGGAGCATGGAGCTCATACAGGCTCACCTATCCCCTCCTAGTCCACTGGCACAGAGGCAGATGTAGCACAGGTTCAAGGCTGCAGGCTCACTGCATGACATAGGATGTCACCCACACACCAGGATCTGTGACGATGAACCGCCTTGCAAAGAGCCAATGACAAGACCACAGCATGGGGCTTGGAGAAGGACCCAATCCCCAAGCACAGCTCCTCAGGCCGACGAGCAGGAGTGCAGAGATTCTGGTGGTAGACACTCACAAAGTAACTCAATGGATCTGAAGCTGTACTTGCATAATTCCCCTCTTTTCAGGAAGACTTTCTCAGTATGTACTACAGCAGAACCAGAACTTTTTTTCTTCACATGTCCATGATGTCAGTCCTGACCTACAATGACTTCAGAACAAACACTCTGAAAACTTCAGCTTCCACTGGAGCCTGGTTCCAGCAATAGCCTGGAGTCACTCCTCATCAGAAGCAACTGAAAGAAAACTAGCCTTATCCCAAGGCCTGCATTTAACTCAAGGAAGTGTTCCTCGTTGTGCAGATTCAGTGTAAGCTGATCTATAATACCCAAATACATTTTGCAGTGCTATCCCATCATCTGAAGCTTGATAGCACTGCCATGCAATTCTTTACCTTCATACTGGGCCATTATCTCAGCAGAAGGGCATGGAAATCTGATGCACAGCAAAGCAAGACATCATCTGCTGTAATACCTTTATATCATGTGCCAACAGCTTTTACTTGGAGAAAAACTATCCCCACGTCAGCAAACTATTTGCTTTTGGTTTTAATTGTCTATCTGCAAACAAATAATTTGATACAGTCTCCTGGACATGTTTGGTCTTAAATGGACCCTATTGACATCCTGCAAAATATTGACAAAAGAGAGTCCTTTGAACAGCAAAGAATTAGCAAACAGCAACGCTTCCCAGCTGGTTGCCCTGCAAAATCCTTTCCTTTCCTGTATGTTCCTTCCAGAGACAGTGATGTCTCCAAAAGGAGTCTTTACTTTGTTCCCCTTTTCCAGCATTGAAAGCTTTCCTAAGTTTTCCTCTACAGCACCAGCACAAGGCTCTGGTGAGCTGGAGCCCCACAGCTCCACTGAAGCTCTCTCTCCAAGCAGCACATACACAGTTCTTTTGACTCGTGGCTCCCAAAAGGGCACTGAAGGATCCATCTTTGAAAGCTTTACCTTGTGTTAACAAAAGAAATTTCATAAAGCTCAGGTAAATAAGTGAAAGAATCTGTTTTCTGGAAACGGAAACTCCGGCACAGAGAAATGCATTCATCTTTTTGAAGGCTGTCTGCCATTACAAGACATGTGTATAAGGATTTTTGCTTTAAACTGAGTTCAGTATCAAAGGCACATGTTCTACATCAATGTCAGACATTCCTACTTGGTTTTCTACCAGAGTTTTGTGATTAAAGCATAAGGATTTTTTTTTTCCTTGTGTTTGGAAAATCTGTCTTTAAAGCAGAGATCTAAGAATATAGAGCAAATGTGGCTATTGAGGCTTGTTCACATTTTAATTGCATGGTTGCAGACTTAACAGGAGAGAATTCTTTCCTTCTTGAAATTCAAGACATTGAAAGGTTAATTCAGTCTTCTCAGTTCCATTTCCTTCCTTCTGTTCTACTTCCCACCCCCATCTGTAGACAGCTGAGTTATTTGAATTTTATGCAAGCTTGTATTCATCTGAAGGGAAATATCATTCAGTGTAAGCATCAGAGAAGAGAAAATTACACTATTGCACATTTTCATTTCTCAGTTCCAATTTGCTTTTCTCTTTATTCACCAGTTTGGGCAGCAGGCTGACACACTCATGCCCCAACGCGAGCTTCCACTCAAAAGTTAACTTGAATTAAAGCTTGAATGTCCCCATCCCCTTTAAATTCCTGTACTTTAAACCTTTGAGGATCTGCACTTGAGCTGTGCTGCTCTTCCTTTGAGCTGCAGAAGAGCTGCAGTTCAGGTTAGCACAATCTGCCCACTGCCAACACAATCAGTCTCTGCTGCTCCTGTGTTTTTTCATGGTGTGGTCACTCACATTCAAAGTATAATAACTGCAGAGGTGACAAACTGAGTGTACAGAGCCCAAATTAACCCTGCTATGAAGACTTATCCTTAATAAGACTGCAGATGTTTTCTGTTGGTTTTTTTATTTTTTTTGGTATATACTTGCAAGGAGCAAGCCTTAAAGTAGCCACTGGCAACACTTTAATGTGGTCAAATCCTGAAAAAAATGGTTATTTGCTTTGGACACTGCAGAAGGAAAGTAGCCTAATATTTCTCCTTTACATCTTAGAGAAGAAAAAGAGTGTCTATGTAGCATGCTGCAGCACTCATTTGAGCATGCAACTGATAACAAATGTGGAACTTATTGATTACCACTTTCTTAGGTAATTGTTGGCCTTGAACACAAATTGTACTCTCTATGTGTATGGCTTACAAACCAGCTCATAAAATTGGAGAATGATTTTTGGAAAAGACGATGTATGAATCCCTTCACGTAGAAATACAACTTTTTATTCTGGTAATTCCTTGCAGAGATGAGCTAGAAGAGATAGCAGGCTGTCTGCTGCTCTGCTTCGGTAGCTTTCCTTCCTTAGGCAGCTTAAAAACGTGAGAGTTGATCTTCTTTTCCACAAAACACAATGCATACTTCAGCTCCGAGGTCCCAGTCTATTGGAAGTGAAAGGCTTTTGCAGCACTGGTGGAAGGCATCCCTCACAGCCTCAGCCACAGCCGTGTGTCCCTGAAGCCGGGGCATTATGCCATCATATCTCCCCCAGCACACAGCATAACACTGATGGAAATGGCAGACTCACCTGCTGTCTGTTTTTCCTCTGGACAAAAATGAAAATCTAAATGCTGAACTTGTAGATCTCTGGATTTTATTACCTTCTCTTTGATTGCCTGGCTTATCAGTTTGGTAGTCCAGCTGCAGATGAAGTGCCACAGTTCAATCAGAACAGTGCTCCTTTTGTTTAAGGTAAAAAGAGTGAAGAGGTCAACAATGGATTGTTGGATTCAAGAGGCTGCTGAATTCCAGAGCAGTCAGCTGCACTGAGAGAGGTGCTCTGAGCACACTTCCAGTGCTCACCCATGACTTCTTTCTCTGCCCTGCTCTTTCTCTCTGCATATGAGAGATGCTACTGTTCTTAATGTCTAGAGACAGAAATAGATATATATTAAAAAAAAAAGAAGTAAATAGTGTAAATCATGCTGACCTAGCATTTCTAGAGCAGTATTCATCACCATTTGCCCTATAGCACACTGTTGTGACTAATGTGTCACATGCTTCTTTCCCCACCCTTTCTCTGGGAGAGAATCGCATGCATGGACATTTTGTATTAATCTTTTCCCTTTAATAATGCACACATATGTCACCACATTTTGCTAGAGAAGGCAATACCAAAGCCAATTATGTAGTGCTGGAAGACACGGTTTTGGGTCAGCTTTTCAGAAAGCTATGTTGCACAAATCTCCATCTGGCCAAACCTTTAAAAATTCACCCCCATAGTAAATTTTGGAAGTCAAAAAGAGAGGGAGAGAGGAAATTTCCACTCCCGCTACCTTATGTTTTCTCTCCGTGTTTTTTTTTTCTTCTGCTGCAATAAGACTCCTAGCATAGACTAATTCCAGAGCTATTTGGAAAACATGGGGTTGGAAAATATAGCCAGAGCAGAAGGACTGTCCACATCTAGCCTGTCTTCTCCTCCCATCTGCAGCCACCCTTAAGGCCCAACATTCTACAGGAGGAAAACTGAACACCTCAGGTAACAATCAAACACACTGGAGGACAAGAACCAATTGTTTACACACCAGCAATGCAGGATTAGAAGAGACATTCTGCCAAAGAGACATCACTGCCTTCCCTACACCCCCAGGATTCATTGTCTCTTAGCCTGGGAACCTGTCTGCGTTCCCAAACACGGTTATTTTCTTTGGCAGCAAGATAGAGCAAACAGCACAAAGGGAACTGAGAAAATCCTTCCAGTGAAGCTGTAGTCTCCTTTCTGTTCCCCTAAGGACAGAACCCTCTAAGTGTAGCTTACAGCACACGCTGTCCTGCCACCTTGCTGGAAGGTGTTTGATTCCAAAAGGAACTGGGGTGCTCGCAGAACCCAGCCCAGCAATTTCGACCTCAAAAAAATCAATCTCCTACCTTTACCACCAAAAATACCACAACGTTTTGCAAATGAAATCACTGTTCAATTTGAGTGGGTGTGTTATTTCGAGACAGTTGTGTCAGCTTATTGGCTCAGCTACAGACTCCGATCTGCACAACGTCTGTTCCCCGACGTGTTCGGATGCTTTGTCCCTCTTGGTCCCACATACAAATAGATGCAACCTGATTCTCAGTGTTGCACCCAAGAGAAAGAAGCCCCTTCTTCCTGCAGCTTCCCACCTCATCACCGTGCAGCTCGGCATCTCGCCAACACCTCTTGAGCCAGAGATGAGCACTGCATCCCCAAACTGTGGACAGTGCAGACACAGAGACGACTGAGCCAGGCTGCACCACTTAGCAGAACTTTGATCATAATGAGCACGGCCACATTGCTGCCCGCAGCCCTTTAGGTGCAGCAACAGCACAGACAGGTTTGCATGGTGCTGAGCTCAGCGGGACCCAGACCATTCCTGTGGAGTTCAAGCTGAGCAGTGCTGTGCAGATGTTCTCACGTGAAGGTGCTCTGCTCTCCTTCACCTCGTTCCTTATTTTAAGTACACGTTGGAGGAAGAGGTCCTTCAGTCGTGTTCACAGTGCACACAGATCAGATCCCAAAGCGCTCTACTTATGCCTTCGGAAAGTCCCACATCACCTTCCAGGATCTCTCCATCAACTACATTTGTCTGCCCAAAGATCTCACAGCTGCCCAGTGGCTCTTGGAGCTCATCTCAGCTCCCTTAGTTCGCTGGAACTCCAGCAAACTATTCATGCTATCCCAGGTTGGACACCTGGGAAAGGCAGCCCCGGTACGTGGCTAAGGATGGCCACCTTGTTCAGTTTCCCACAAAGTGTCCCAGCAAAACACAACCAAGGGCTCCTAGCCATTACAAAGGGTTTTTAAAATCACATCACTCAGCACCCAAAGCATGATTTCCTTCTGTCAGCAGGACGTGCAAACACAGCTTCTCACAAAGCCCAGCAGGAAGGTGGCTGCTTCCCAGGGACTGCCTTGCAGTGGGAGGCACCTCCACGAGGATTTGTAGCTGCCAAACCTGAGAACAAAGGGGAGATTCTTTGTTCCTCCTTCCAGGACACACGCCTGGCCACTAGCTGATGGATGAGCCTCGGGTGGCAGCTGTGCCACCATCACTGTGCACAGAGCCATCTCCAGGGGTAGGGTATCCCCCTGAACTCATCACCCACAACCTAGCACCAGCCCTTAGGTGAACTCCAAACCTCGGCATTACAGAAGGGCAGGAAATTCAAACACCATCATCTTGGAAAAGGAAGAGAGAAAAAAATCAAGATATATTTTGGCTGTTTTCTGTGTTGGTTTCTCCATTTCCCCCTCTCGTGCATTTTCTGCAGAGGCAATCTGTCCTTTCCCTAAATGCTGAGCAATCCCAGCACAGAACTAATCAATATTAATGGCGATGGGATCGGGGGTGGGAGGAGAGGAGGGATTAACGTGACCTTTTTAAACACGCGCTGCCTCAGACGGTCACCGAGCAGCTGAGGAGAAAGCAGCCAGACGGTAATGCCATGTGCTTTCAGTAGCTTTGCTTTGGCTTTTTTTGATGGTTTGTTGTTTTTTTGTTTTTTTTCCCTGTGAATATTTACTTCTGTTGTCTCAGAGCAGATAGGAATAGAATCAGGTTGTCTTAAGGAAGGAAAAGGCATCCGCCTGCCAGCACCCGCAGGCCGATCATCCTTGCTAGAACCTGTGCTGAGCTCAGCAGAACAATGCATGGGATGGATTTTAGCTTGAATTCCTATTAAAAATGGGAACTGGATGAGGGATGGTTTGCCAGTGCAGCATTTAATGCTGGTGTGCTTTGTGAGTATCTGCTATATGGGGTCCAATCGAACGCACCGACTCAAATATTGAGTGCGAGAGCAAACAAAGGACCCTGCGAAGCAGCCCTCCTACTGTCGGGCACAAATGCACACAGCAGCTAATCCCCCCCGCTGTGGGACTGACTTAGGGCAGTGTACTCAGAATTATAGAAAAAGCCTATTAATGAAAACAAAACCGTTATTGAAACTATTTGTGCATGTCGGATTCGTGGCTTACTGCAGAATTTCTGGGTATCAGCATTCCTCAAAGTAGCAGTTCAGGTCAGGAGGTGCTGTGGGTTATTCTCTGAATGCATTGTCTGTATTTAGTTTTCTTTCTGTGTTCCAAATGTGACTTTTAGAAACTGATGTTGAGAAATCTATATTAAATTCTACTCATGCCTTTCCTCTTCTGCTCTGAGAGCACCAAGCTTTGGGGAGCGGTCCCAGATTGAGGCGTGAGATCTGTGTTTGGTTTTGAATGAATATTTTTACTGCATTTCTTCACTTTTGCAGCAGGCTTTGCCTTGCAGATGGCACAGCACGAGCTAACAGAGCCGGGTGTGCTTTCCCTCTCTTTGTCAGGACCCACCATGTCTGACAAACCAGATTTCGCAGAAATTGAAACGTTTGATAAGACCAAGCTGAAGAAGACAGAAACAAGAGAGAAAAATCCATTGCCCACCAAAGAAAGTAAGTGCTTGTGGGGCTCTTTGAACCGAGAGCAGCAGAAACATCAGCCCGTATTGCAGCTAACGTGCAGAATGAATAGCGACCAAACTCATCCCTGATTTAAAGGGGGACAATACTAAGAGTTGTGCTAAATGTAGAGTTTCCAAAGGTAGGAGCAGCTAAACCCAATTGTGCTTTCTGTGTGGAAGTAATCTGATGGTAACATACCCTGCTAAAAGCAAAGATAATGGGATAAAGGGACATACCTGCACAGATGCTCAGAAGGGGAGGCAGTGTCCCAGGAGGGGCCTGACCCTGGTTTGGCACATCAGAGCTGTGGGAATAAAGCAGCAGCAGAAGCCCATCATTGCCTGTCTCTAACAGGAAACCTCCCTGAGCACAGGGTTGCAGTCCCAGGCTTTTGCCTTCCCCAATGCCTGTGCTGTATCAGATGCTGTCTGCATTTCCCATTCAGTTTTGGTGTGAAAATGGCACTTCCCTGCTCTTGGGCCTGGCTTTGGGAGCAGGCTCTCTCCGAAGAGCACCACTAGCCACAAAGGGCACCATTAAATTAATATTGTATCAGATGGTTTCTACTTGGGGTCTGTCAGTGCTGGCAGCCACGGGGACACACTGCTCCCCCAACAGGAAACCCATTCTGCCCCAGTTTGTTGTCCCTGCTGATGTTCTGTCTGTCCTACAAGAGGAAGATGCAACATCACAAAGTGGACCTCGGTAGCAAGGCAGACAAAGGAATACGTCAGAATTTTGGGGCGGTCAAATCCAGTGGGGATTTGCCACCACTCAGCACAGAGACCTGTTTTGCCCCCAACCCTTGCAGTGCTGATTGACATTGGTTTTGTTCTCTGCATTTTTCTGGCAGCTATCGAACAAGAAAAGCAAAGTGAGAACGCATCCTGAGCGTCAGAGAGATGATGTGACTGCTGCTTCTCCGGAGGGGTTTGGGCTTCTGCACTGGGTTTTGTTCTGTTTTGTTTCCCCTCCCTTCCACCTTCCCCTCAGTGCTCATTATCCATTTCATTTATTTCATTTAGCAAACACTCCTTTCATGTTCCCAGGAAGAAGTTTGTTTTGTATTTGTTGCTCTGTATTCTTAAAATGGGAATTCAAAGTTCTGTACCACACCCATCACTTGAAAAAAAACAAAAAAACAAACAAAAAAAAAAACAACCACCAACTGCATAAAAATGTTTTCCTAAACCTCACAATGAAGAAGTTTCTTCCATCCAGCTGTGTTTGAGACTTTACAAATAGGAGTTGCTGTGTAAATCCAACAACAAAGGTAGCTGTGACTGTGGGCAGCAGCTCTGCTCCGCCTGCACAGGGGATGTGCTGATGGCATCTGCCTTCATCTGACCACACCAAATGCAAGAGGGCATTTCAGGGGAGCTCCAGGGAGCAAACCTTACATTCTAACAGGTCATACCTTTGGAGAAGGGTGTGAATAAGATGGGAACGCGTTAGCTTGCTTCAGTCCTATAGAACAGCAGGTTGGAGGTCTCCAAGACAAGCTGATGGCTGGGTTGAGGAAGGACTCCTATCAGGAGCTCAGGTGGGAATGGCTGCAGCTCTCTCACTGGTGTTCTGCCCTTGTTAGCCTATCAAGATCCAATCAGCCTTGGTACAGCCCTTTGCCCACCTGATACCAAGCAACATGGGAATGCTGGAAGGTCTCTGGGCAATAAAGAAAAGAAATTCATTGTAAAATTATTACTGCATTGATTTTCTGGGATGTGAGACACCTTTGGCAGCAAACAGGCATGCAACAAACCCTCAGAGCAGACAAGGTATCCTTAAGTCTTCAATACTAATGCTGCAGAAACACCCCCTCTGGGCTGGGTAGAGCTCAACAGAAGTCTGCTCCGGTCTCACTCTGTTCTCAGTTATGTGCTATTGTGTTAGCTCTGGAATTAGTTGCAGTCATATCAGGGGGATACATGATTAATTTGAGTAGATACACTGCTGCCACCAGGGCTGCAGCCTGGTCCTACCTGCACAAGGAAAGGGGATAACTAAGTGTGTATCCACTCCGCAGGGACACTGCGTTTATGGCTGAGGGAAGTGCAGCTGGCCTACAGGCTCCAGGGAACGGGAACGAATGGTTGACACGGAAGGCTCTCACTACACAGGAGTTGTTTGACAGCTGACACTGAAAGTGAATCACAAGATCTGTAAATAAATTAAAGAGCATAGCCACAAAATGGGCAACATTCCCTAGCAACAAAGGTAAATGGTGACCAAGAGACCAAGGGAAACACATTATGTGCAGGGCTGGTAACTTCAGAGCTTCATTCACCTCCGTGTTACCCAAGGGGGAGGGTGGTATGCTTCCACCCAGGGGCTGGGAGCTTGGCCTTGGCCAAATATCTGTTGTGATGGCAGCCCGGTGGTGGAGACAGCATTTAGAACTGGTACGGAGAGAACAGCCCCTGCTGGCAGCCCGCACTGCTAAGAGCATTCAGACAGATTAACCGCTGCTTTTCTGCGCAACAGTTTTGGCAACCAGCACGCACCACAACCACACTCAGCATGTGAGCCTGAAGACTAAACTTGCTTCATTTTCTTGTGCCAGAAGACAGCATTCTGCTCCACATGACAATCTCCCTTGTTCCCTGCCAGCTCAGAGCATCTGCCAACTTGCTCAGCACAATATGTGATAAATCACCCAAAACTCTGCGTGCAGTGGAGCCGATGGGAAGCACCCACACCCCCCAGATCCCAAAGTCTGTGCTGTGCTCTCAGGCAGCAGGAAGGGAAACAAGGTCTGGCCAAAGCAAGAAAACAATAGAGATATTCTTCTCTTTGCTTGCCCAGAAGCCAAGGATTAGCAGTGCTGCTCTGAGGACAGAGGCAAAAGGCCAAAGCAGCCCACAGCACCAGAGGCACCAGGTTTGTCCCAGCTGTTGCTGCTCCAGGCTCACACTGCTCCCATGAGACCTCTTCCCAGCTGAGCTACTTGTCCTTAGTGCCCAGTACACTACACTCAAAGTCTTAGCACTTTTATTTGTGTGACTTACCCATCTAGGAAGGCTTTGGAGCCAAGAACAGCATCAGCCCAGTTCCCCAGCCCTGGGCTGCAAAGCTTTCCAAGTTACAGCAGAGCTCACAGCAGCTGCACACCACAAAAGGCTCTGCAAGGATCCAGGCCACAGCTCACCCAGCACAGACACTGCAGGCTGGCATATTTGGAGGCTGCTTCTTCCACCATCAGCAGCTCAGAGAGACTTGAAGTTGAAGGCACGCAGTCACAGGACCCCAAGTTGAGAAGTGTCCTCCCCTGTTGCAGTGTGAAGTCACTGCACCAGGAGACTAAGATTCAAAAAGAGGAGAGCCAGGTCTGGCTCTCTGTTATCACAGTCAAACAGAATTACAGCCTTTATCTGCAGGGCAGGCTGAGGGCGCAGACCAGGAAGTTGCTGATTACCTGCGGCCAAGACCAAGGCAGAGTGAATGCTGATCATTCCAGCCCCTCTGCTGGGGAAGTGTGTCCTGCCAACCACACTGAGCACCTCAGGTGCCCCTAGGAAACATCTTAAACTGCTCTGAACCCCCATCTATAGCTAGGCTCACTGATAGCATCCACTCTTAGTACCCAGACTTTCTCCAGCTTTCTGCAGGCAGGGCTGACCTGAGCCACCTCTTCCACAAATCTTGCCCACCTCCAGGTGGGGTTGAGGCTAATTAGCTGAAGAGCAACAGGCCTTTGCTGTTCGGATGCTTTACATAATGAGACAGTACCTTAGGGATCTTCCAAAGGAAAAAACACCTTCGGTGCTAATCCCATCACAGAAAAAAAAAGAATCATATACAGACAAACACCAGCATTCTTGGCATTGCCATAGAGCCAGCCTTGTCCCCTTGTGAGTCACTGCTAGTTGATTTGCACAGCCACAGTGAGCCCTGGCTGAGCAGAGGAGATCTGCATTCCTCTTGTTATTATACAGAACATACTTGATCAAACAAGGCTCGTTAGGCAGGTGTTTGATAACAGGGAAAGGCAGGGAGGACAAACCCTGAACTTGTTGAGTTCCAGTTTAAGCTCACCTACAAACCATAGGGGAATCCTGGTGACTCCAGTTCCAAAATACACTTTTTTTCCCCAAAAATTATTTTTAATGTGGTGGCTGAGGTGTCTGACAGCATAATGCTTGCACCAGGCTCGAGGAGCAGGAGCTTTGGGGAAATATTCCATTGTGCTTCTGCTAAATCTATGGGCTCCTGACCTGACAGAGACCTCTCCTGCTACTTGAGGAAGAGGGGAGAGGAAAGCACGGAATGTGTAAGGGAGTGAGCTCAGTGTCACAATGTCAGCAGGGTCTGAACTGCAGCTGCATGGGAAGAAAGATGGAAGGGAGCTGAAAGCACAGCTGAGGAGGTGCCCAGTGTGGCCAAAACCCAAGTCAGAAGCAGCACGGGCAGCTCTCCTGCCCCTGTCCAGCTCACTCATTGTCTTCCCAAAACCATGGGATGAAAACAATGGCCCCTAAAAAGCACTGACCTGGCAGTGCCAACCTGGACCTCCTCTGCAGCAGGGAGGGAGCAGAGCTGCTGCCTTCCCTCAGCCAGGCACAGGCAGCCACAGTCCCACAGTGTGCTGCACGTCCTGCACCCAGCACTGAGTACGGAGGAGCAGGAGTTCTTGTGCAGCTGTGTTATCCTGATCCAACGCCATGCCTCTCAAGCTGGCAGCGGGCTGAGCTTTGCCTCCCACTGCAGCTCTGCGCCAGGCCAGGCATCTCCACACACCTCTGTCATTTCAGGACAGACCATTCAGGAAGGAGCAGTTGCTGGGGATGGTTTGTGCACATCTTGCATATCGTGCTGACAACAACTCTTGAAAGCTCCTGTGATAAACTGCAAATGTTCTGATGCTGCATGTTTTCTGCAAGGCCCTCCACAATTCATTCAGTTGATGGAGAAGTGTGTGTGGATGGGGTCCAGCAGCAGGCACCAAACAGAATGAAAGAGGATTTCAGAGCAAACCAGCCATCTCAGGCATCTGAAGCCAACTGCACCAATTCAGAGGCTGATGCTGTGAAAATATTTGCATTTGGCAAAGTTGCAGCAAGCAGGGCGGGAATGAGGGATGTGTGACTCCAAGTGGGTGTTTTCAAACAGCATTTTGTTTGGGGAAAATAATCCCTCTTGGTCTGCTTTGTTTTCTCATGGTGCTGGAAACAATTCTCCTCCTCAGTGGAAAGAATTGGGTTTCTCTGTTGCTGTGTCCCTGACTGGGAGCCAGCAAAGGTTGTGTGGCCAGCCCTCCTGCCTTGCTAGCACTGGAGAGGTCACCTCCAAGAGTTAAAGAAACACAAGATGGGCCCCATATCATGTATTTGGTTTAGCAATAAGAAAACAGGTACACATGAACCCCCCTGGGTGCCCTGGGGCAGCAGCATTGCTCTGGGGAGTCCAGTGCAGGGAGAAGGATCCACCACAGCTCCGACTGCTGCCGCAGCTCTGCCACAGCACAGCCTGCATTCCGCTCCTCCTGCTTTCCCTGCGCCCTGTGCAGCCTCCTATCGCAGCACCAGCCAGGCAACCCCAGCCCTCAGCTCCCACCTGCACAGCCCTCAGCAGGCAGAGGCGCATGGCGAGGACAGGCGTTGTGGGATGGAGGCATGGAGCAGCTTTGGTAGCAGCTGCCATTCTTCCATGTGTGCACACGTGCCCAGGAAAGCTTCGGCAGCATCAGTCCAGGGGGAGATGCTATGGTCCAGTGCAGGGAAAGCCGCAGTCGCCATTTTATGTCAGTGGTGCACAAGCAGGAAGGAAACAGAAGAGCTTAACCTAAAATAGCCCTCGGTGTGCAGAATGAGCCGAAAAATCTGAACCCCAGAGCCACGCTCGGACAGCAGGGCGGTTGTTTGTAACACGGGGTGAGCACACAGAGCGGCAACACCCGTCTACGACTTCGGTCTCTGCTGCAGAGCGTGCCCCGGGGCCGACCTGTGGGAAAGGCCGCTCGCCGAGCTCCGAGTTCAGCGCCCGCTGCCGCCCGCCCTGCCGGCTGCACACAGCGGGCCGCCCCCAGGGGGAGCCCCGGCACCGCCCGGACGGATCCGGGCCCGGCGCTCCGTGCGCTCGGAGGGCGGCCCTGGGAGACCTCAGCCCGCAGAGGGCCCTAACGGTGTCTGAGGGGATGATGAGGAGCCTTTGTGCAGCTTCGAACCTGTAAAGGCTTAAGGCTGCTTTAGTGAGGCCAGAGAGCCTGCCCCGAGTCGTTGCCTCAGGTGACACTGGGAACATCTCTTCCCACCTCATCTAGTAATAAACGCACGGCACTAGCTTCACCTGCAGGCTGATTGAAGCCTCTAATGAACATGCTGTCAGTGCTTCTGGGAATGCAGGACCAGAAACAAAGCTCTCTTCTCGCTGGGCTCTTCCCAGCAAGACTCAGAACTCTTAGTGTTTCTTTCCACCCCAATTTCCCCAGAAAGACATTGCAGTTTTGTGTGCTCCTCTGCCCGTGAAAATATTCACGGCTCAAATCATCACTTCCATGATACTGAAATCTGCCCCCATTTGCTGCCAGAGCCACCACCGGCTGCCCTGCACAGCCGCGCACCTCCAGCTCCACAGCATGGGTATGTGGGCTCAGGGTTTCCCCAGGACACAAAGTGGGTCAGGGCAGGAGGGGAGGCAGAGCCACAGCCACTAAGGGACATGTAGAGACTGGTGGTGTGCAGAGCCGTGGAGCACCACACAAGCGGCGCTATTCATCAGTTAATTTAGCTCCAGTTTGAATGGGAATGATGAAGAAGGAGGCGATAATTTTCCTTCATATCAGGGGCCTGATCTCTTCCTGGACAGGAGTTTATCTGCTGAGGTGCTGCATTTGCGGAATGGGAGATACCCACATACCCGTGGAGTAACCTATGTGCTGCACTAACACTGCTTTGCATGACACTTCCTCTAACGAGGGAGAGGAAAACAAAACTTCTGGCACTGCTTTATCGTGCTGATGCGTAAACAGCCCCGTGGGCTTTGAAGGACACACCTGGAGGAGCAGATGAGGTGAGGCCCATCAAGTCACAGCGCTGAGGCATGGCAAACTAAAGGCTGGAAACGGGTGTCTTATCCTGCTCTGCTCTTCATAGCACCTCAAGCAGAAGGACTAAGCTGGTTGCCCAAAAGTATCTTTATCTCCTCTTAGGATGCTGCAGAGAAAGAAGCGCAGAGTAGCCATGGGGATTTACCCATCCAGCTCTTGGGAGGATGGGCAGACAGACCTCAACAGCCCTTCCCAGGGGGAGATGCTGAGTGAGGAGCAGCTTTGGTCTGCTATAGGGAGATCTGAGGCCACGAGAATGGGATTTCTGTGCACACACACGGGGTGGCACAGCAGGGCTCTTACCAGACTGCAGTCTGCCTATAGCCCCCATGCTGAGTGGGGAACATCTGCCTTGGGGGTCTAGAAATGGGTGAGGTCATGGAAACAGAGTGGAGAAATCAATGGGGAGAGAAGGTAGCGGGGAAGGACAGATTTAAAACATGTGATGCAAAACTGGTGAGAAGGACAGGGAAGAAATGCCCTTTATCTGCTTGCAAGTGAAATAGCCTTGCTCTTGCCAGAAGCAACATCCCAGCTTGCTCCTGAGCTGAAGTCTCCATTTCGAAGCCCAAACTGTGCAACCTCACACCTCCTGTGGTTCTTTAAAGATCTGATGGTCCTGTAGTATATTCCAGGAGGCATCTCCTTCAATAGCAGAGCCTCTTACATTGGAGTTGCTCATTCTGGGCTTCCCTGATGAAGTTCACTGCTTGCCCCACCACACAGTGCTATGCTGGGAATCAGGATTAAAAACAAAAAACTGGTTGCATTGTTACAACTGAGAGAGACGAGCTGCTGCATGGAGGCAGGAGACAGGAGCTTCTCATTTGGTCACAACAAAGTGTACCCTCCAACTGCACTGCTGGGCTTTTAAGCCTTCGTTCAGTGAACATGAGCCCACTTCTAATTATGTACCAACATAGGGATCAAGAGGACTGAGCCTGCAGGGTAGGTGTGGCACAGAATCTAATTTCAGTTTCACCCAATCTTCAATTAACATTCCTTAACCAAAACATGTTCGTTATTCAGGCAAAATTCCCCCCAGCACCGGCAGGACGAGGGCTTGGGTCCTGCAGGCTGCTCCTGCAGCTGAGAACTGCAGCAGACAAAGCAGACATGAACCTATTTTGCCCACTATGGGAAACCTGGTGTCGGGAAGACTGAAAAACAAGAGCTGAGCATTCAGGGCACTTATTTAGTGCTCATGATGGATCATTCTGGAGCAA